ACTGCATTCCGAAAACATGGTTTTCGCATGCCTTAACCAGTGGAGAGGGGCTTAACGTCAAAATATTTAATGGAACTTTTCATTCGGCCAAAACCCAAAAACTGTGGTCAGACGATACGAGCCAAAGCCAGGCCAGACCAAAGCAAACGCAGACGCAGGTAACAGCGAGCCAGCCAGGAGGAGACGGCCAGTGAAGACCAAAGGCCTGCTTGGAAAGAAAGACAGAGAAGAGGGACTGGGAGAAGATGCTAGAATAACAAACAAGACCAAAGGTGCAAAGGAACTGGGATGTTTTTTGCCAACATCATCTCTTGCTTTCTTTTTTGGTGCAGCTGTTGCTGAGCTTATAAAAACCCAGCCGAGGCAGAGACGGGGAGAGTGTGGGAGCAGTGAGAGGAAAAAGAAAGGAGAAAGCAGAAAGACTTGCCCACACTGACAGGTCCAGCACTCACCATCTGCTAACAGAGAGCCTCTCTGCTTCAGTTTCTGGCTATTCCACATCCTGAGAGCTCACCTGTTCACCTGCTGCCCCGACATCAGCCATGTCTGACGGACCGGCTTGACTGCCTCACAGAACCTCCTGCATTTTCAAGCAACACTGAACATTTTAGAGAAGCCACAGTTAGATAGTTATTTGCTTTTGGAGTCGTGATATAGGCTGTTCGATACTGTTAGTATTACTGAGTCTTCCAGTTGAGTGTTAGTTAACACCAGGATGGCCTCAGACAAGAGTCTGTACATCGTAAAAGTGCTGCTGTGGATCGTCTGCTTGGACCTCAGCTTCACCTGGAATTCCAGAGGCACGCAGGCCGCCATTTACCGTCACACAGGTATGACAAAAAACTGCTTGAAGACAGTTCAACGAAGAGAACAAATTTATGATTTTTCATCTCTTAACCCAAATGTAGTTGACTAGCCAAGAAACATTCGGCGCCTGAAATTTGAACTGGAGCTTAAGTAGCTTCCCTGCTGGAAAAAACAGCTTCAACCAGCATGAATTCCATATTAGCCAGTGCTAGTTTAGCTGGTCACTCAGCATAGTGATGCTGGTTGACCAAACTAGTGTCCAAAACACAAATGTATGCTGGTTTTGGTGGTCATTGGCATAACAGCATCCAAAACAACAGGGTCTAGCAGGGTCTCAAGTAATGGAGGTTCATGTACACCAATTAGTAGGGCTGGAAGTGGATCCCAAAAAGAATTGATTTCTGAATTTCAAGGATTCAGGAATCGGGAGTCGATTTTAAAGCTTTTGACTCGATTACACACAATGATGTTCCTTGCTAAAGTGCATTGCAATTAATATTGTACTCTGTATTTACTCTAGATGTCCTCTATGTTAGTGTTTCCTGGTCCAGGAGGCCCACTGCCAGTGTTTCCCTGCTCCCAACTCAACTAATCCAAATAATCAGCTCTTTAACAGCCCGTTATTGAGTTAAAGTAGCTGGGTTAAAGCAGGAAAAGCACTAAAATGTGCAGCTCACTGGCCCTCCAGTACTAGTATTGAGAAACTCTATGTCTTGGTTTTTGGAATTGAAATTGTGGAATCCACTCCATCGATTCCCATCACTTGGAATCGAACAGCCCTACCAATTAGCATCATGTGGCCTACACGCCCTAAATCGTCATTTTCTTGAAGAAAGTCTGGACAAAATTTAAGTATCATATCTGCTACTTCTGTTTTTAGCTTTGCAAAATGCTTTCATCTATTTAACAGCATGTCACACAGTGTCAGGAGCCACATGAGCAGGTCTATTTGGGATATGAGCTCGATATGAGGTTTAGCCATACAGTTTGCACAATACTAATTGGTGACATAAGCTTCTATTTCTTGTTAGCTACTTTAGCCTTGCAGCTCCAGGTCAAAACTAAATAAGCAAATGTGTTACATTTGGAGTAAAAAGGGGGGGCGTGTATAAATTTTTCATCCGACGCTCGCTTTAACAGCTTTGTACCATCACCCTATTCAAAACGGCTGTCAGATATTTAGAGGTAATTGCACAGCTCCTCAGCTGAAAACATTAGCATAATACATGGGAATAAAGCCCCATAATGGAAAACGATTTGAGTATCTGTCTCATTGCAGCACAGCAGCTCCACTGCATGTTAATGCAGAGCTTCTGGCAGCTCAAACCTTCAGCTGAGGCAACAGCGCCATCTGGTGGTCAAGCCTCCACGGTCTTCAAGTAGAGAACATCTCACTGCATCCCTTTTTTTTTGCTCACCCAGGCCTGTGCACTCATAAGGACAGGGTTTTTGAAGATGGCCAGACCTTCTACAGAGGATGTGACAAGTGCTACTGTCACACGTCCGGCTACGTCTGCTTTCCGTAAGTAACAGCATAATAAACGCACTGTAATGACTGTGTTTACTTTAGAAATGTGGTGCCTAAAGTCCTATTAGGATTCAACTGGTTTATCAGAGGGATGTCTGTTTAAAAGTCTCATCAGTAATAAAAGTAATAAAGCGCATCCAAACTGCAATAAAATTACTACAGGAAGTGCAAGTTTTGGGTTTGCATCACACATGGTCAAATGTGATCATGCTGTAAAAGAGACAGCTTTCGCCCGAGTCTTTACTGCTTTACTTTCCTGCTGTTGTCGGCCACAGCCACTCCATACATATGCAGTTTCCTCTACCAGCTCGCAGTCTGACTCAGCTCACATCTCAGTACTCTCTTCTCCCTCTCTGCACAAACACCACACAGCCCAGGGATGGTTCCTAGCCCAACCCTCTACAATAAGGATCCACAGCAAAAAGAAACCCAAGTGTAATAAAGGTTAAAAAACATATAACCTAAAACTAACTTCTTAAGCCACAGTTTCGTGTTTTTTTTTTGTTTTTTTTTAATTCATTTGGGTATATGTGCGCTTGGGGACTAAATACTGCAAATAGTAGCAATCAAAACACTGTTCTTTCCAATGCAATGTGACATCTGCCTGAAAAATGCACTAAAAACCACAGATGTGCATCCGAACAGGACAGAATTTATCAGATAACCATAAAGTTTGGTGGCAAACAGTAGGTAAACGCAGACAGTGCCAATCCAGATGGCAATATTAAAACAAACTGAACAAGAGAAAGTTATGCAAATTTAATCTCATCCGTATAGGGCTTAAGTCAGTATTTCTAATCGCCAGTCCCTGAGCAACACATGCAGTATACACTCAAATCTGATTTGATGTGATAGTGAAGTGATAGTTCTGTGAAGAATGAGCAGCATGTAGGAAGGTGCACTATACGGCCAAAAGTATGCTCAAATGAGTGTGTTGGACATCCCATTCCAAATATGGAACCCCATTTCATGAAGCTGTTGCAAGTTGCATCCAGAGGCAGTTTGGAACTCAGTAGTGAGTGACGCAACAAAGGACAAGGTATTTTCATGCGCTTCAGCACTCGGCGGCTCCGTTCTGCAAGTTTGCATGGTCTACCTCTTCATAGTGGAGCTGTTGTTGCACCTAGACACCTCCATTTCACAATAACACTTACAGTTGACCAGGCAGATTAACAGGGCAGAAATTTCACAAACTGACTTCAGGCGAAGGTGGCAGTCTATGACAGTGTCACGTTTAAAATCAGAGCTCTTTAGTGCGACCCATTCTACTGCCAAAGCTAGAGACTGCACACATGGCTGTGAGCTTGGTTTTATACACCTGATAGCAATGCTGGCTGAAACAACTGAACTCAATAATTAGGAGGGGTGTCCACATACTTTTGACCATATAGTATAGCTGAAGTACAACAGACATTTCTGGTGCCCGACGTTTGCTTCTATTGGTAAATAGCTCCAGTTCAAAACTAAAGTACCACACTTCAGACACCAAATGTGTCATGGCTTCACAACTACATTTGGAGAAGGGAAATAATACTGCTAAGCTGTTGCCTTAAAGGGCCCCATATCATGGAAAAACAAATTTCCTTTGCTTTTTCTGAAATAAATATGTTTGAAGAAATATGCAAACCGTTCCCTTCCAAGTCCACATATGGAGGCATATACAGACCATATACCAGGCTGCAAAAATGGGCTGTTTTATATTAATTGTTTGTGATGTCACAAGAAATCAACTCATTTACATGAGTTTACATATATTTACATACTCATTTGTATAATGTATAATTGTATAAAATTAATTATGATCATTTTTGGTACATAGAGCCACACCAACGTTATATGTGGAGCTCAAGCATAGAATACAAGAAAAAAATTTGGATATGGGCTCTTCAAAGCATGGTGATGACATTACTACAAAAATTGCATCAACACTGTGTAGTATTAGAGACAAATTACTTGTAGAGCTGCATGAAACTAAATGTTCATAGTTAATAAGTAAAGAATATAAATAATTCACCACAGTGAACACCTCTAAGTTCACCTCTTTTTCTCCATCCCTTGCTAGACCCACAAAGCCAACCTCCTGGCCAAACAAGTGCAAGCGTGTGCCCACGGCATGTGGCTACCGTGTGGTGTATCGAGACAATGCAGCAGTGGAGTGCCGTGCCTACAGCTGGATTTGGTGATGTCTGTCATCACACAACATGGAAAAGAAAAAGCATTTTCCATTCTCCTCAGTCAGCTGTTCCTCCGTCACATTTAGAACAAGAGCAGACCATTAACATGTAGAATATAAATGCCAGTTAAGAGACTTTTGCTTTGTTACTTTCACTCTCTTAAAGGAGCTACAGGTAAGGTAGAGTCTGTGAAATCAATAAATTAAATATTAAAAGCTGGATGAGTCATTAATCAATCTGTTGTATATTTCATGGTCTCTAGTTCTGCTTTCGAGAGCTCTAGCTTATTTATGGCCATTTATTCAAAATATAACATGACCACCTGTGTACAGGTGAATGGTGATCATGCAGGTCAAATATTGACCAAATGCTTAATGTCAGTCAGAGCACTCATTCATCAGTTTTGTTAGACCACATCTGTGACCCCGACTGTCCACCACATCACTGTACTCTCTTTACATCTTCCATTAAAACTACGGCCATTTTCAAAATACATTGTCATGAGTATTTTATTATCAAAATGCAATACATCTCTTTTGCTTTCTGTCTTGGAAGAGGGGGGAGGGATCCAAACTATGCCTTGTGTAAAAAATAAAATACAACAAAACAGAGATAGGTTTTTAAATGTTTCCTTTAAAAAGTGTCCAGTTTTTTTTTCCCATCTGAGACCTTGAAGTAAAGAGTTTTTAAGCAAACCCTTGACTCCAAGATCCAACTGCACACTTTCAACCGTTAACACCAACCCAAAAAGGAAATATCATGCGGCAAATTTAGTGTACTATATTTTTTCTTGGAACAGTATATAACACATTTTTATGCAAGTACACATGATCATACATAAATGTTTTCTTGGTTGTTAACATTTTTTTCCTCTGTAATTAAGGTGCTGGTAAATTTCGGGTCACATAGTCTTTGTTTTTTGTTTTTTTTGTTTTTATCTTCTGAAGTCTTCTGTGAAAGACAAACATTCATGTTAATCAGTGAGTACCCTTGTGTCTTTTCATAAATGGAGAGGGGAGAAACTCTTGACAGAAAAGGTCAAACGGTCAAAACGTGTCCCAGGTGATAAAATGATCTCTGCAAGGTCCTTTGACCAAGGGAGGAAAAATAAAACAAACAAAAACCCTTTTCCAGGTAACTGTAGATTTAGTCCGTCTCAGGTCCACCCAACAGACTATCAAGACATAAAGACTACAGCTCCCAAGATGCAACAGAGACATCAGATTCATTTTGCGCGATACTCAGTTCCACTCCGGCGGTCATCATGGCACAACTTGGTGACCTCACTGTGTGTGACGAATATCGGACGACAGACAAAAGTACAGCATTCTGTCAGAAAACAGACACTTCTGAAAGCAGCACTTTGCATTAAAAATACTTAGAATGAGACCTCAGCAGCTATCTTTTTGATTTTTGTCTTTGTCTTTTTTTTTTTCTCCTAATCAAACCATTCAGCCACAGCTCCTCTCCTCCTCCCTTGAGTGGCGTACGGAATGCAAGGATTGGTCAAAGGGAGAGAAAAATAAATTCTCAACAATATGAAAATAAAAGAAAATCCTGCCGGATTCAAAAACTGTAAGGGGAACAAATCCTATAACGGAGTAAAAACAATATTTCTGCAGCTTACTTTTCAAAACAGTTCTGTGCACTCCTAGTCACCAATGTTTTTGCAATAGTTACTAGAACCCCATTTAAAAAAAAATGAAAATAAAACCAGTCCCATATGACAACTATACCTCAGAACAGGCTAGTGGAAAACATGACACCGGGTTTCAAACAACCCTAAAATCAACTCAAAACAAAAACTGAGCTAACTGCAGCACCATAAGATCTGTGGTTGTCAAGTATTACAGAGTGAGTCTACAGATGTGGAGAAACCACCAACAAAAATGAAAAAAGGAAAAAAAACCTGAAGATTTATTTAATGAGATTTAAATAGAGAACTGCCAGGGGTCGATCCTGACCCCCTTGTGTCTCCTAGAAAACTAGTGATTGACAAGTTGACTGAAAAACTGAATGGAATGATTAAGAGGAAGAGGGGCTATGTAAATGGATTTCACCTACATGGCTATCACGGATGAAGCTAACAAACATTTTGCTTGGAAAAAAATTCTTCTGTCAGCAAAAAGTCTTGCGGACTGATTTGACTTGGATTAAAAAAAATTGAAAAGCACCAAATGCTCTAAGCTGGTTGAACCAAACTGAATCTGGTTCCAGAATATCAGTGGGGATTTTTTTTTAAATTTGAGCACAGGTACCTGATTCAATTTACCATCTACTCTGCACATTAAATATGTACATATCTTCAAAGCATATGGGTAAATTTAAAATTACACGTGATTTAATTCTTGATTCTTTCCTCTCAAACTTCTAGGTAATGTTTAATTTCCACTGATTCCAAGATTATAAATGAAGTCCATATTAGACTACATGTAGAATGCAGAAATGCATTTTTTGGTGGAACAGAAAAAAAAAAGGTAAAAAAGGAAAAAAAGGAAAGAAGAGAAAGTAAGAAAGGAAACGATCATCACAATAAGTGGAGTCCATACTCCTCACGTCTGTACATCTAGTCCCCTCCCCCTAACCCAGAGTTTTTCCACAGGTTCAGAGGTGAGGATGTTGACAAACATACGCACATAAACACACAAGCACTCACACACACACACACCGTCTCACACACTCACACAAACACACTAAGGGCCCTAGTATGTCCCAGACTGTGTCCGTACCCCTGAACCCTGCATTGGGGGCTGTTGTAAATGCCGCTGTGGGTAGTGCTGTGCTCCGGAGGCTGAGAGAAGCCTAGAGCTGGCCTGCAGCACCGCCTGCCCCGGGCTGCCTGGTTTCAGGCTCCGCACTGTAGCCGGCTGGGCCAGTCTGGATCCGTGTGAAGGCTGACTGCAAAGGGCAATGCTGCTGTCTGTTTTGGGGTGCCCTTGGCCTCTGGAGGACATGCTCACAGACCCTGACAGAGTGCTGTTCAACAGGCTGGCTTTGACATGGTTGCCAGAGTACAGCTGCGCCATGTCCATCATACCTCCTCCACTGCTGCTGTGGTGGTGCAGAGTGCCCCCTGTCTGCCTGGAGTCCACTGAAGGAGGAGGTGCTGATGAGAGTGCATCCTGGGGTAGAGGATTGGGTGTGCCCAGACGTGATTGGTGGTAGCCCTGAACCACTGATGAAGAGGAGGGTGAAGAGGAGGTGCTGAAGGTGGGACGGTAAGAGGGGGAGGAGGCCTGCTGGTGGTAGGCGGGGCTTTCCAGATGTTGGTGGGGTTCTGAAAGGTGAGGTGGCACCTGCAGAATATCAGAAGATCAAATTTCAACCTCAAATACAAATGGACATAGAAATGAAAAAAAATATTTTATACTCATTACTAAAAACACCAGCAATAAAGTGGTTCATTCTGAGCACCTCTTTCAGGGGTTCCCAACCATAAAATATGCCAGGTGGCCCCAGATATTAGTTTGGGGTTGTTGTATTGAAATAAATGGTAATAAAAGTCATAACTCAGTGTTTCTACTGTGCTTCTTAACAAACAAGTAAAACCAGCTACAGCTCCCCCTTCTGGATGTTTGTAGACATAAGCAATCAGCTTCCTATTCTTCAAGCATTCTTCAAACCCTAATAATCAAAAGCAGATCTGTTTAGGCTTTCTTGAAGACTATGTGAAGAGTAATGTAGTGTTGGTTTAAGGAACTACTATATCTTACATATTTCTATAGAAATATTTGCAATATGCTCCTAATAACAGGTCTCTCATTTTTATATTTCATGCTTTCTCTCCTTCTCTTAATCAGTGTTATACTGATGGGTGCCCAAACATTTAACTGTTTGGATATTGGTTCTTTAGGTAGGCAACCAGGTTTAATTTTGGGATTTGGATATTCTAGCTAAATGTAGGCTATCAATAAAGGAGAACTGTACAATACTGTAACATTTGAGGTTCTTGGGAGTAACTTTGATAACTCTGTACGGTACGGTCAATAGTGCAGCTTTATTTTTAATTTGCTGAAAACAGTGCCAAACACGGCAAGAAGAAACACAGCCTCTCCAGCGCTAACCCCTAAAAACACAGCCCTCTGCTCTACTCCGGAAAACCCACCACTCTACCCATATTCAGGCTCTTCAACATAAAAGTCCTTGTACAAACAAACATGAAACAAACAAACTACTTACTAAGCAGCATGGCAACACCATAATACATTGTCAGCATTCTTGTACTATATTTATACTTTTTAATTGCACTGTTAAAATGAGGAAATTTATACCATCTCAGCTAGGGTGACTGATATCCCTTTCACTCACAGAAGTGAAAGTCACGCAGTGCTAGACAGCATGTATTCCGATGTATTCCCCTCCACCCCGCTCCCCCGGCCCACATAGGGCGAAGCTTTGAATATTCGCTGTTGATTACTGCCAAAGCTCCAGAGCACAAAAAAATGGTAGTCGGGGCAGCCCTAGCGTTGTGTATGCTGACTCATGGAATTTTACCTGGTGTGGGTGGACAGACGGGCTGTACCTCTGGGGGCTCCTCATGGGGGAGGCCAAAGATGAACTCGGGAGATCATATCTATCCCCTTCCATTCCATCTATAAACACAAAACGACAGAACACAATGACAACTTCACTCTTATTTCGACTACAAACAGCGAAGTCTTTACGATGACATGAGATAAAAATTTAGTTATTTCATACCTGTATCCTTGTCTCGGCTGTTACCATGCTCACTCACTCCACCCTCTGGCCTTTTAAGGACTCGCTCCATCTTCAGACTGCCTCTCAAAACCCGCTCTAAAACTCCCTGTCCCTCTCTAAGCCTCTCTACGGATGTTGGCACCATCCTGAAACAAAAGCAAAAAGATGTTTATCTGGCCAGAATGCATGCGTACATTTTTTCATTCAACTATGTGCGTTGTCTTCTCACCACTGGCTAGAGTCAGGTGCACGTGGGCCGGAGGTTTGAGAATGGTTCCCTAGGTTGGAGCTGAGGTCTGGGGGGCTGACCTCCTCTATCTGTGGGAATGCCTGGTGGGCTGGAGAGGAGAAGGAACTGTGTGGGGAGGCAGCGGGCTGCAGCACTGAGCGGGGTCCACCTGGGGACTCTGCGCTGGGGCAGAGAGAGCTGGGACGAGTAGGGGTACCCATAGTGCCTCCAGGATCGTGGTCTCGTGTCCCCTGCTTCCTCTTTCTGTACTCTAATAAAGAGACCTAGAGACAGAGGAAATAAAATGTATGAAAAATTTAGACATACACCGACAATGGCATTGCATAGTTGCATGGCACACTCACACGCATAACAACATGCATAACAATAAAATAAAAAACAATATCCAGGATGTAACATGTCACCATCCATCAGTTCAATGAGAATGAGTGGTACAGCATGCAAAGGTAACCAGCACCGCTTCAGTTTAACCAAACAATACAAGTACTAAATCCGTTCACAAACTACATGTATACTCAAACTGCACCATGGTTAGAGGATGCTGCATGTCACAATATGAAACGCAGATCAGATTATTTGCTTGTTTAGATGTACACACACCTACCCACACACACACACCCCCACACACACCCACCCCCACACACACACAGTCAGAATTCAACGAGCCACACGTCTTAATAAATTTGATTAAGATTAATTAAATGAACCTTCATAAAAAAAAACATTCACTGTAAATTTCAGATCAAAAGGTACTAATAGCGCATGACACGTCAATTTTCAACACATGAATGAAGCACATGTGTATGTCTGTAAAAGAAACAACAATACGCAATGGTTTTATGCATGTTAAGGGGATTCGGGGCAGTACAAGGAAAAGAGGCGCACTGTATGCCAATGCAAAACAATATCCACATGCACACTTCTAGATGGAGGCCATGTATGTAATATTCACCATATTCTGCCCTGGCTTGAACTCGCCCCTTACAGTTAGTGCCTGGTAACCAGGCAAGCCTGAGAGCTGACTAACGCCACTCCCCATGGCCCTCTGCCTTGAAAAAAAGTGGAAAAGAGAAGACTTGGCAAATCTTTCATGGGGAAAACTGATCGGAATGCATGAGGTATGAGGGAACAGGAGGAGGAGGAGAAAAGAGAGGATAGAACAAACCATAGCGTAGGAGTTTAGCCTCTTTTTGGCTTGATACACAAAGAAAAAAGGACAACATTTTGAGAATTAAGTGTACGTGAGGAATGTAATTTTGAAGCAAACCTGTCAGTTTTGAAAGATCTTTTGATCCGAGTCCGAGCGGAGAATTTTGTTTCACTTACAGATGATTGAAAGCTGCATTCTGCATTCTTTTGAACTTTTGAATCAATGTCTGCTTACTTTAAGAAATCAGATCTATCGACAACCTACAATTAGCCATTACTCTCCCAATCAAAGCAGTTAAATACCATTAGATCACAAGATCAGTCAATATAGTTACAATTTCATCTGTTAGAATACCAACTGATGTGGAATCTGATTAGTGCTAGGCACTGCAGAAAAACTGAAAATTCTGGAAAGACCGAACAATGCTCAAATGTCTGTTCTTCATACTTTGAATCATGCCTCATTAGCAGGGAATAATAAGCTTTCATTGTAAATGACCTCTCTCCTCAGTTAACAGGGACGTCCTCTGTGGAGATGCAGGCAGCCCTGCTAAGCCTGCAGGCTTTATTGCTCAGTGGAGCGAGAGGCATTGCTGTGACCTTTCCATACATAAGGAGTGGTGTTTTAAATCTCACAGAATGTAGATTTAAGGATGAAAACCTTTGCCGAGATGTAAGTGATATGTTAACAACAGCCAATCTTAGCTAATTCTGCAATTCAGCTGCTTCAAGGCATTGCTTAGTGAAAAAATAAATTCACACGTTTACTTTTTGCCCAAATGTAGCCAATCAGCCAAGGCATGATTTGTGTCTAAAGTTTTCTTTGTACGTTTCGCACTATTATAAGCTTCAAATCCTTTTAACTATACTGTCCTCATAACTCCAGTGCAAAACCAAATCACAGACACCAAACATGTCCAAATATTTACCCCTAGCTATGAAATAAAGGGTAAAACTGTTAGATTTTTGACCAAATTTTTGGAAGGTGACAGATCAAATAAGACATCTGTAGTGGTGACTTCTGGAGGTGGGTGTACTTGCCTTCTTTTTCTGTGGTGGATTGCTGGTATGAGGTGGCGTTCCACTATCTGGGTAGCCGCCCCCAAAATGAGGCTCTGGAAAGGGCGAGAGAGAACCGGAGCCCGTCTCTGCCTGCAGAGCCTGGCCACTCACAGTGCTGAAGTAGGACTCAGCAGGAGAGAAGCTGCCCTCTGATTGGGAGTGACGCCGGTCAGTGACAGGGCCAGTGGCCAGGTTGGCATTGAGGGGAGAGCAGGTGTAGATGAGGTTAAATTCTGTCCTGAAGACCTGCTCTCGAGCCTGAGCCTCATTTGAGCGCGTGCCCAAGGAAGCATCAGTGTTGGATACAGGGGCTGGCGTGAGGGAGCTGACACCTCCAGACCCACCCAGAGGGTCCGGGACAGCCAGGGGGAAGTCGTCAGACACAGGTGCGGGACTGCCGAGGCTGGAGGTCATGGAAAGATCAGGGAACGTGGCAATCCGTGGCGTATCGAAGTCGGGCCGCAAACAGGGCTAGAGAGAGTTGTGTAGGTTGCCAGATATTAGTATAAAGAACACACAAAAAGTTTGGACTTGCCATAAGGTTTTGTTATTTTATGTAAAATAATGATTTATACAAAGTATTTTTAAAAAAATGACATTCATAAATTAAGTTTCTTATAACTTGATTATTGACACTTGATAGCATACTTAGCCATTTAAGAATTATCTGCTTACACATTTTTTTTCTTTTACAGCTTTCTATTAATTATTTAAAACCTACAAAGGCCCAATGTTTTATGGTGCTATCATCAGTTTATACATTGAATAGTAAAAACAAGTTAAAAGTTGAAAACATTGATTCCAAGCTATGAATTGTAGTTAAAACACACTAACAACTCAATGTATGTCTTACTTCTGGTGAAAGAGACTCTGGTCTGTGTACAGGAGACGTTTCAGGAGAAGAGATGTTCTGTGGAGAAGAGAGCACTTATTTATCCATCTCCTCTGTTATTTGTTCGTAAGGAGCCAACAGTTCCCACACACAACAAAGCTGAATTGCTAGTAGAATACAACACAACAACAGGGAGCAACAAAATAGCTTCAGAAGGTTTCAGACTTAAGCAGATGTTAATACAGGTACAGTTCAGCATCAGTGGAACAGAGCTGTCTTGCTCAAGGTAAGATGAGAGGTGAGTGAGCCACAGTCACATCTGTACCGGAAAGACATAATCAGGCCACTGTGTGCATGTTTAGCTGAACCGGAGTTAGAGAGCTGATATGCGCTTACTTCAAACTGCAGAGGTGTGTTGCAGCGGCTGGCGGGAAGGGATGGGAGCGGGGAGTAAGGAAGTGCGGCACCGTTCTGCCTCTCCTCCTCAGCTCCTAAATACAGCGAGCATGAAGAGAAGAGCGGGTGCAGCGAGCTCACTGATGGTTCAGAGGGCAGCGGCGGTGTGATGGGGGACAACGGTCGCAGCAAAAGGTCGGGGGGTGGGGCCACAGTCTCTGGTGCATACTTTGATTTCCTCTTTTTAAAGGGTGCTGTCAGTTCTGCACAAAGAAAAGTGGAGTGAGACAAAGGAGACACTAAATTCAATAAAACATTCACTTACGTGAAAGATATGTAGAAAAACAGTGTTTTACCAGGTCTGGAGGTAAGTGAGGCCGTGCTGCTGCTGTTACTTTGGTGTGAAGAGTTGGACTCAGTTCCATCCTCCATGGAAACCAATGACATGCTTTCATCCTGCGCCTGCTTTATCCACCTCTGCTCAGATGGACGGGAAAAAAGAAGAAAAAAGATCAGAATACAGGGCAGTTTCAATATTAAAAATTAAGAGATGAGATTTCATATCACATAATCACTTAAAAAATTTTGCTAAAAAGGGCTCCAGTAATGTCCCAGTATCTTTTCTCTACTGGTTTAGATGATCCTGGCAAAGTTTTTATGACTTCGGGGAAAGTGGACCTAAACAACTATTTAAGCAACCTGTCAAGTCTTGTTCACCTTCTTGCAGGAGCCGTAAGCAGGGTCAACTGTGAGCGGTCGGCGACGTCTCTCTGGGTTGAATGGCGAGCCAAAGCGGATGTAGTGTTTTGGGGTGGTGCAGATGAGGGGTGAGTGGGAGAGGCCCGGCAGCATGTTAAGCGTTGTGGCCAGCACGGTAGGGTCAGTTGTGATACGAAGCGGCCGTTCCACGGGCTCTTCCATGCGCTCTGGTGCCTTATCGTTCAGCCACTCTGTCACCAGGTACTGAGAACAGCAGGGCAGAAGTTAACAGCATGGCAGAACGTAGGTGCGAATATTATGCTGCTCAACACTGCTAAAAATGGGGCTTCAGGAATGGTCTTCCAAGTAGATATTGTTAAAAAAATATATATATACAAAAAATAATAACAATAAATATAAATCTTGGATGGGTTTTCCACAACCAGCGTAGCAAATAAAAATTTTACCTGTGCAATGTTTTCTTTGCTATGCTGTAGAGTTTTGTGCTTTCACTGTTCAAACACACCTGATCCAACTCAAGGGGCGGATTATTAAATAATGATGTAACTCATACATCAGAGCAGAGAAACCACAAAACTGTGTGCGCAAGGATGGTTTCAGGATTGGAGCTGGAAATGCTGCACTAGTTGTTGAAATGCTCTTGGCACCACATGGTTTAAATGGTTTTATGGTAATGTTTCCTAGCCCTGGTCCTAGTGGCCCCCTGCCTGCACATTTTAGTGTTTTTTGTTGCTTTAGCACATGCACTTCACCTGAGTATGGGGCTGTTAATGAGCTGATTAGTGGGATCAGGTGGGAGCAGGAAAAACATTAATATGTGCATAGCAGTGGGCCTCCAGGACCAGGGCTGTCCCTCTCTAAGCAGCAGAGACATTACAAAATGATGAAACCTCACCTTTTTGGTTTTGGGGTATCTCACACTGGCTTTCCCACCCAGTGCTGCAGAAGCTGCTCCATAACAGTCTCCATCTGGCAGCTGCCCGGGCCCCAAAGTCCCATCCCCAAGCCCCAGATCCCCTGGGCCAGCTGCAGTGCCGCCCTCCTCGCCTCCAGCTGCCCCAGCCTCAGCTGCTTGCTGAGCCAAAAGAGCCTGCCGCTGCCTCCGCGCACGCTGGGCTGAGCCTGAGCGATAACGGGAAATGCGGCTCTTCGGTCGCGGTTTGGAGGTGCGAGCTGGGGGAGGTTTAGGGGTGGCAAGAGGCGCAGACGGGGCTTTTTCGGAGTCCACTGATACTGCTGCCGGGTCCTTAGAGGAAAACAAAAGAAACATTTAATAATAATAAATAACACAAGTGCAAGCAGATGGAATTAACTTTTCTGCATGGGTGTATCACCAACTCTTCATACGCATCTTGGGTTGCTAACACAACGAAAATTGACCTACACAGTGCCATGACAGCAAAAAACTGTCAAAACACTGACAATAGCAATTACAAAAAATTGAATTAGGCAGGGGATGAGAAACAAAGTCTCTGGCTGGCAACTGCTACTGCCAGCACTAATTTAGGAATGTTAGATTCAAGCGAGAACAAAGAAGCACTGCTGGGGGTTTACAAAAAATATGAAAAGACAGGTGCTACTTGGGCAAGGGCGACACAGATTAAAAGAAAGGATTTCACACAAGGAGTTTTAAAAGTAATCCTGCTTTCAATTATAAGAATAGTCAAAAAAAGTAAATGCAATTTTTGGGCACCATGAAATTTTCAGGCTCTTACAAGTAAAATACATTCTGTACTGTTTACATTCTACTACTGTGTAAACAGTGTTTCCAATCACCTATAATAATATAGCCAATTAATGGTGAGGTTTTCATGATGCATGAGATTTCATGATGCACTCAATCTTTTCGAAACTGAATTGTTGCGATGTTTACTCTCCTAATTACCAGCAGCCCCTGGTATGAATATAAAGGGTACAACAGAGACGAAACAAGGAAAAGTGAACAGGACAGTGAAGGAGAGAAACTGTGACCCACAGGAGTGAAAGATGTCCGCCGTGTACTAACTCCTGTCACTCCTATGTTTGGTCCAGGGTTGGCCACTATGGGAGAGGAAGCCCCGCCCTCCTCAGGCTCCAACCCTTCATGTTTGGGGTCATCAGGCCCACCCCGTTCCAAGCCCTGAGAAACACGCTTCCTTCTCCTTTCCAAATTCTCAAACACATGCATGATGGCCTCAGCTTTCCGGTCCTCTCGTGACTGCAAGAGAGAACACGTAACATGAAAACATCAACTGATGCATAATCAGTGACTACAGTAGAAATAAACTAACTGTAAATAGCCCCTCTTTGAGCCCTTCCTTACCCGTCTGCTCGATATGAGGGCTCCAGTTTCGTCTACCTCCTCATGTCCCTCCTCCTGCTTCATTCCATCTATTAGACCCTCCTGTAGAGCCAGAACAAAATCATTATCATTATTATGATGATCATCATTATCATCAATGTCATCAAGCAAGTCCTGACTTTCTAAATCCTGCAGACCATTAAAAGGGCCTTAACATAATAACTTGGGTTTGTCATCTTCCTGTACATTAAGTTTCTATTTCACAAATATCCAGCTCTGCAACTGAAGAGGGGCAGAACTTGGTGCTTACCTTAATTTAAAAAAAACACAAAAGAAGCTTCTCAATGTTAGAACAAGAATTTAAGTAGGATACCTGTCCAGAATCAATGTTGCAGATACCTGATCTATATCAATATTAACCTCAATATTTCAAAAAGCAGGATTTCCTAGTAAGCTGGATGGCCCAAAGTCAAAGTCAAAGACTTTCCAACAGGGATGTCTCATAGTTCTCCTCTTACTGGACTGGCTTGAGTTTTGGCTTAAGTCATCAGGTCACCTGAGAAATCTCACAGTGTAAAACTTCTTCCCCCCTCCACCTCCACGCACCTCTGCATCACTGGCTCCCTGTGTCTCCCCATGTTCATCCAGGAGCTGGTTGCTATCATCAGACACAGCCCCAATGAGTCCACTCCCTTCTAATTCTCTTCTCCGAGCCCGTCTTCGGCGAGTCTCTGCCCCTGGCAGGGTAGGCAGTGAGTGCTGTGGTGGGGGCAGCATAGACTCTGATGGACTCTGATTATGCTTCTGCACCGGGCAGTTCTGATTGCCTTTATGGCATGCACAGTCCACTTTATAGTTACTGCACAGAAAAACAGAGACACAGTCAACACACAGCTGTTCATTTAGCTGGGCATCATGATTTTAGAAATAAGAGAAATAAAGTATTTATAGGACTAAAAACTGACCAGCTGTTGAACTCGTAGTCAAAGCCGATTGTGACCTCCGAGTCTTTAGAGATTTGAGTTACTGCATAGATACACAGGTGAATCATCCCCTCTGCAATCATATGCCGTACCTGTGTGGACGAATATGCAATAAATGTAAGAGTGTAACAGTGTACAGACTCATTAGCATTTCACCAAGACGACATGCATGTCACTGTCACAGTATGTTGTAATTTAAATTTGACTTTTTACACACACTTTTCCTCATCTCTGTCTATATTAGATTAATTGTCCAGTTCAGTTAGTGATCACTACTCCACCATCAACTGACCTCAGCATTGGGTGTACAGGATCTCCTGATGAAGCGAGCATCATTGCCAAATGTCCGAGCGTCCACACACATCTCGACTTCATTAAACTTAGAGTAGAACAGGACAAACGGGTAGGGCCTGAACAGAAGGAACAGAGACATGACCATTGTAGGGCAAAGCCAGACCGAAGGGATGGCCAAGTCTGTTTCTACATGTTTTTTTCTGTACCACTCCTCATCAAAGTGGTACTATACAAAGGTGTCATAAGAATGAACAGACATTGTTGAATACATGCTTTACACATACAAACAATAAACACACAAACTTACTTTTTGAAGAAGTGGCCATTGACCTCAAACTGTTGTTTTAGCATGACTTTGCCTCTGTACTCAATGATGAGTGTATCAGGTTCCAAGTCACGTGCTGCTCGCAGGATCTTCCGGTGCTTCTGCACGCGTGTTACACGGCCCAACTGTAACTACACACACACACACACACACACACACACACACACACACATTAATTTAGTGCACAAGTTCCCCCAGGCCTACTTCCCCCAAGCTTATCCCTTTAAGACTGAACATGTCGTTGTCTACATGTTTGACACATTGTTTTTAAACTTAAAGAACTTTATAACCATCTGAAAAGTAAACAAACCTAAAACACAATGATACACTACAGAAGCTGAGGTTTACGACAAGATGACATTTGCAGATCTGTTGTGCTGTATCTCTGAAATTCGAGGATTTGTAGAGTCAGCTGTATTATTGTACACACTGATCTATATACAGTGTGATCTAACACAATGTTCAATGGCCATTCTTTCCACATATCTTTTGCTGTCATTGCCAACACTAGTTAGCCAATCAGAAAATTAAGTAGACCATCTATTTAGCTTTAGATACACTTCTAAAGCATTGTGGTTCTGTTTTGAAAACATAACTGCCGAAAGAGCACCAGTAGGTTCAAACACAACTAGCCAATCCCAGGGGGACCTGTACATACAGACAGATGTTTTCAGTAACTTTTGTTAAAAGGCACTGAAGTTGTTAAAATGGTTTAATGTTCAGGTCATTCATTAAAATCGTTTTCTCCTGTACACTGAGTTATATGTATGTGAAAAATATGTGGAAAAAAGGAATTTGTGGTTTTCAGGATTTTCATGCATTCACATACTTTCATCTTAAACACTGAAAACATGTTTAATAACTTGCTCAAAAGTTGAGTTTGTGCTGAATCAGAGCATACAGATTACATCATACCGTTATATATATCGCCAAGCTGTAGATAGTTTTTGCCCAGCCAGCTTTACGTGCTAAATGGTTAAACAAAGTATCTAACTCCTTTTCAAACAAACAAAGGCTGTGCTGTACCTGCATCTGAGAGCTGAGCACTGTGTTGTTGCAGGCCAGTTCTGTGCGGTTGATGGTGTCCATGGTGAGTGCTGGCTGGCTTGCAGAGTTCTTGCTGGAGGAGTGATGGAGCTGGAGGAGCGTCTGAACGTCAGCGCTATACTGGTTGGCCAGGGCCTCCTCATAATGGTCCGTCCACTGGCGGATACGTGTCTCCCAGCCTTCAGCTGTGTTCTCATCCAACCCACTTGCTTCACTGGTGGAGTTCTAAAAGAAAGACAGGGGATTTGAATTGTTTGGAAATTCTAATGATTTTAGTGGGACATATTTCATTCTAAAGGAAATAAGATTGGAATGTAAAATAGTACTAATCAAACAAATTAAACAAAACCACATCAGTGGTTTTACAATAATGACAATAATGCTGTCTCTAACATGACCAAATCACCGTGCTCTCTGATCATCAGTCTTTGCAAGTATTTGATAAGAGGACACAGGTATGGATTGTGACGGCAAGAGTGCGTCTTACCTTCATCCTCAAGGATTTTCGGGAACCTTCTCTAAAGGCCTGCGAAATAAAACCATGTAGATTAGACCATGTAATATTTGCACAGCACATGCCATGTTTCTGAAAATACAGGTGTACTTATCTGTGTGACTTCAAGTCACTTAGCAGTAGGAATGTGCACATATGTCTGACTGTATGTACCTTGACCTTCTTTGCTTTAGGGGTGGCTCGTGTTTTCTCTGTGCTCTTTTTCCTCTTTTTGGCTTTGCTGCGTTTGACTCGGTTGACGGTGAGGGTGATGCTGGTGGGGGTGTGCTGAGTAGCTGTGTATGACACTGTGGCAGCTGACACCTCCTCATCTCCACTCTCTGTAGCACTGCTCTCTCCTACTGTCAACACACACAGTAAGCACACTATTGGAAGGGCATACACACACAAACCAATAAAACTGACACTTACAAACTTTACACCTAGACTGAGTGTGTATGCGTGCTTGTTCTCTCATACCCGACACATTGTCTGCTTTCCGGCGTTGACCATCCAGCCCTTTTCTCCTGTCCAGACCCCTGTACACATTACAAGTGAGAGAGCCGATCAAATACCGCAGATGCACTACAGGATGGTATTGACAGAGCCTAAATGGCAATACGATTATACAGTAATGTAATCTTTAAATGACATTTAAACTGATTATTTAAATTAAATAATTACATGATGTAGTTGACTTTGTATTTAGCAATGACCCACGTTTACATTTGATTAACATTCTGTACTGGCAGGCTCAAGTCTGGATTTCCAACTTTATTCCATTTGTTTAAATAAAGACAAAATAAAAACAAAAACATAACAACCTTTAAATCCCTTAATTAGATTAACAATTATAGCCACCAATTAAAAAAAGACATGGTGCAATTTTACATTAATAATTTTGCACTAGTACCTCAATTTTTTTGTAAAACAAAATGTGGATACATAAGAGGCCACCAAGCAATCTGCAGAAACCAGAGTGAAACAGCTCAGGTCAATTCTGCACTCTCCTTACCTGCAGCTCTCACACTTGATAAGGTAGCCATCCGGCATGAGGCGGCACTGGCACCAGCCGGACGGCACGGCGCCCTCTTCCTCCTCCGAGGAGCTCTCGCTGTCAGCTGAGTTGTCGGGGTCATTGGTGTGGAAACGGGATCGGGCACCGTTGAGCTCCAGACGGGGAATAATGGTCTGAGAGAGCGGGGAGGCGGGAGGGGTGGGAGGGGGCGGCGCTCCATAGTTATGATCCTGACAACACACAACGGAAGACTGTTGCATCTTCAAACAATGGTGTTCAGGCATGAGAGAGAAAGAGAGAGAACAAGATAGAGAGACACAAAGGAAGGAGGAATGGGGGGGGAGTAGGAAGAAGGAAAGGAGAAAGGAAGGAGGCGGGAATGAAAATAAAACGTGGCATTCAAAAATCATGCAGGATTCAGCAGTTACAGTGTGATATTTGAACATGGCTGAAAAATGTTTGGAGTAAGGCAAGTCTAAAATGAATTATAAATAATGAAGAGAATTACATATCCCTATCAAAATGCTTAATACAGAGATGCCAACATAAGTTAACTGCACTTAAAAGCAATTTAAAAAAAGATGAAGAGCAAATTATAAAATTTCATGGTAATTTTGCAACTTAATTTTATTATGTACAGTACTTTCACAGTACTTTGTGACAGGTTGTGCAATCCAATCGTGTTTTCTTACTAAAGCTGCATGCAATGCAAGTGAAGCGATACTCACAGCATAGGGTAGGCCACGGTAGCCATGACTCTGTGTGCTCCCACAGCTGTGGTTAGAATATGTCTTCTCATTTACTGCAGGGCTCGCTTCCACTGACTCAGGACTGAGAGAGAGAGAGAAAAACAAAAAAAGAGAGCACGACTAAGTGTAGTTAAAAAGAAACAAATTGCACAACATCATTTCTGAATTACTGACTGAAATAAAAGCTGTGCGGAGGCTAGTATAATTAGGAATAAACAATGTGTCTTTCTTTACAGAACTGGCCACTAGGTGACAGTACTGCTCTAAAATAACAAACGCATGAGCTGCTCTAGATGAAGGAATGATCATGGCTCTCTTATGTAACCTCCAACGCCTACCAAACAGGAACTCTTTCCCTTTTCAACCTCACAAGCTGAAAGAGGCTTAGGCAGTTTTACCAACATGCACTTCCATTCTGAGGATGATCACATTCATTCCATATCCATAAAGGGATTTCACAGCTTGTTTTTGGTTATTTCAGCCACAAACTGCTCATATTTGTGGTCAGCGGTCAACCACAGGCATGAACAATAACGATATTCCATAGTTAGTACAAAAAATTGCACCACAACATATTTTTCTGGGTGCATCACAGATATCAGTACTCCCAGAATATTGATCAGCTGTGTGCTTCATAAAAAAAAACTGTGCCTTTTAACAACAAACAGTGTCGTTACACTCTCCAATTAAAACTACATAGTAACAAGCAGCTGTTGTTATTGGATTTCTTTTGTTAGTTAATATTGCCATTATCACACTACTATAATCTCTCAGATAATGTGAACATGCAGATACTTGGTCCTATTTTGTTATTTTTTACTATATGTTTGGGTTTTCTTCCACTGCTTTTCATTAAACTCAACTGAACGGTATTGCTTTTTTGCTGCCCTTGTTAGCTAGCCTGAGGAAAAAGCTAAATACTGTGATACATGTTGTTCTTTGTGATTTTTAACCATTCAGTTTAAAATTACGAAACACTATTCCTATACTGTGGCTTCGCATGGAGTACATGAAAGTTAAAGCCTCGCTCAAAAGCACAACTGTGTCAAACCACTCACACTGCTTGCACTTGCCTGCTGGCTGCGCTGGAACTGGATTCACCAGATTAAACAAAAGACTGCCATGTCTGCACTACTGTTTTATTTGTAGGTAATAAGTCAGGTTGATCATATTTGGGCATAGTAGAAAGAGTTCAATGACGTGCCTAAATACTGTACCCAACAAATGAAATATCTGTGATTTTACAATGTGCTGAACCTGCTAGTTTGATTTCTTGAAGCTGCATTATGTAAAATTTGAGGATTTAGAGATGCCTCTGGTGGAAATATGTAATTGCACGCAACATGCGGAAGAACATTTTGCAACATCAGCTTTGCATCGGATCCCTTCCCTGAGTGAATGAATCTGATGACTGCAAGCGTGTTGAAGGAGTATTCAGAAGAGACCCACGTCAAAACTTGGCCTTCTTCTGAGGATGCAAGTAAATTTACTAGGGTTTAGACGAATTATAGGTTTATAAACTTATGAAAAACTCCAAAAAATTCCCACAAGATCCAACTCGACACCAATGACTTTTAAATTATTTCAAGCTTCATTTTTGATTTCTTGTTTTTGACTACAAATTCTATTCCTCCCTCTTGTTTCCTGAAGCTATCCTCACATTTAAGAGGGGAGCAACAAGGCTGAGATGTATTTCATAAGACCTCATCAACAATGTCAATGCCTTAATCTGGTAGACAAACACGTGGTAAAACACAAACATAAGATCTTTTTGCAATTAGACAGAAACAGACCTTCAGAACTACCACTTAATCCTATCCGTAACATTCATATAAAGACCATCTTAAATTTTACCCTTAACGTCAAGCTCGGCATTCTTCCTATAGACATGCATGTGCCTGCATACATGTACACACTCATACGCACAGTTGCAGTACTCACTCTGATCCGGCGGCCATGTCTGTATAAGGTGTCTCAGGTGTGGTGACTCCCAGTGCGATTGCTATGCTCATGACTTCAAGCACAGCGCCGCAGGGGAGGAGGGGGAAAGGGGGAGGGAGGGGGAATAGGGATGGAGGGACAGGGGGAAAGGAGGAGAGGAGGGGGGAAGGAGGGAAGAGGGGATCACGAGGTCCGGATGGCAGCGACAGACCACTCCAGAGGCGGGGCACCGCAATGCCACTCACAGCACCTCACGCACATCAGGAGACCTATAGAGAGAAAGGGAGAGAAAAAGAGGGAGGGGGAGAGAGAGAGAGAGAGAGAGAGAGAGAGAGAGAGAGAGAGAGAGAGAGAGAGAGAGAGAGAAAGAAAGAAAGAGAGGGGGAAATGAGCAACAGCAGAAGCATCCGCAGTTCTAAAGGTTAGATACAGTCAGGCAAAAATAATCTTTTACAAAACTAACATGGCAAATAGCTAAACGGTGATAAACACTGGTCATTTTTCTTTTCTCTTTCATGAGCAACCGTGTAAAAGACTTATATTTAGGACTTACAGAAATATTTTGGTGAAAAATCTAATTAATACTGTAACCAATCTCTTATACCTAACATTCTAACCAATTCTGTAACTGTGAATTAAACTGCAATGATTTAAAGCCACATTTAATTGGCTAGGAAGACCAACTTATCTATTTTTCTGGCTTGAGGCTTACATGCTGAATGTAACGTTCCAGGCAGCCAGATAGTTGTGGTCATGTTGTCATGTACACATCATGTGGGTGTTTAGTTGGTTTTGATTGGTTAAAATGGCAGCTCCTGTGATTTTTCAAGATAGCAATCTTTTTGTAACATTTCAATCCAAAAATTGTTTATCTTTTAGCCCTACTGTTCTGATGCTGTCCTTCGCTTCCAGTCACTTTTGAGCATAGTTATACATGTGTAAAGCTCCTGTCGTCCACCAAGGGGAATTCCAACAAAAGGTCACGAGGCACATGGTTTTTCATAGGGAGTTATATTTAGGAGTTAATACTCACAATTGGGTAATGACTGAAAACAAAACTTCTGACATGAAACCCTCAAAAACAGTGTGAATTTCTATAGATATGCTACAGAAGGTTTCAGTAGATTTAGGGCCTTGTCTTTGCACGCAACACCACAAACCCCCAGAGATGACCTCACTCTTAAACTATTACTCACTGGCCAAACACAGCTTCCTGGAGCTGACCAAATCCTCACAGCAGAGTCTTGTCTTGCTGTGACATAATAAATCAACTGCAAAAAAAGGTCTCCACCTGTTCAGGATACTACTTCTTCAGACTAATTTACATGTATTAACAAACTCACACAGTGAGCGGTTCATTTATACACAACTTGAAGCAGCTTTAAAACAACTGACCAGTCAACCATTTTGTCTTCATAAAAGAAAATACAAAAAAATGACTCCTAAAAAAGCAATATAGATTTAATATGATAAAAGGAGGCAACCCCTCCCATGTAACAGCTATAGAAGCCTGACAGAAGTAAGTCTCTGTGTTAGGTTAATTGATAACGGCAGAGACAGACGTAGCACAAGTAACTGCTTTGGTTTATAGAACTAATCACTGCAAAACTAAACCAGACAAACAAGCAGCAACTTCTGATCAAAGTGCTGAGCTTACAGAAAAGCCTTTGTAGATGATCCAACTGTTCTCAAGTGCAAACCACATCAGCTAGACTAAATCTCACAGGAAGACAATATGCACAAACACGATTACTAGGTTACGTTATCCAAAATATGCAGTTCCTCCACGGTACAGAAAGGGGGCAGAGCTGTATGTCAGATGCATTAGGCATGGCTGTCATTTTATTATGCTTAGGCACTGACAGAAACCCACATACACAAGGAGAATTATCCACAGATTGGTATTTCAAAGGTGCAGGGGGCAGGATTTTTATGTTCAAAAAATATAATGCAGTTCACCGACTGGCAATCATCACTGCAGTTCTGGCGGGTTTGTCAAAATTCCCGCCTTTCAAAAATGTAATCAAATTTATGAAAACGTTTTTGGTATCACTTGGATGTCATTAAGAGGGCATCCCTTCCATCTGAAGCTTCATGTAGAGACCAACACATTCAGCCAATTAAAGCAAAAACAAGGCATATTCTTCTTTAGTACTCCGAAAGTCAATCACTCGCAAAACTTCAATATTAGTAAAATAACAATATAAGAATAAGTTATGAAGATAAGATGGTAAAAGAGACACAGACAATATTCCACTAAGGGACCAGGCGAAATTACATGGATTAAAACACCCACCACAGTTAAGATGAGGCATTAAAATAAAAAAAAAGTCTATTATGATGATCGCTATATTATCTTACGTTACATCAGAAACTACAGGAATGATTAAACAACCACAGCCTGTACCACAATTTAAATACAAAACAAACTTTTTTTTTAATTTTACAGGTTGAGTCTGCTGAGACACTTCTATAGACATTTTTCACCTCCTATCAGGAAGCATCTTAGCACCCACATGCATGGCGTTCTAGAACATGTCCCCATAGATACGGTTGCTAACGGCCCATAGTTACTGCGGACAAGGACTCTGTGTAAGTGAGCTGCCAGACCTAACACCATCTTACCAACATGCTCATGATACGTCAGCTTTACTTGTACTTTAATCCTCTAATAAATCAACAGTGCAACAACTAATGCCACTTTACTGAGCTGTCATTACAGTCACGGATCAGGGCTAGTCTTAGATTTATATTCAATTAAAGGGCAGAGCTGACATTTTGACAAATAAACTGATGTTTCACTTGTTTGGCATGCAATAAATGCACTTAGTGGATGTTTTTTTTTTCCCTAAGCCAATTTTCTTTCTACTTGTCAAGCAAACTTCACTTAAATGCTTTAAAGAGAGGAATACATTAAAAAATACTGAAAAAAGCCAGACACAGCCAATTCTGTGAACTACTTACTTTTATTTTTTTAATTAATCAGTACTGTGCTACAAAGGTGACGCTAAAACAAATGCTTTTGGCAAAAGTGCCCGCAACAGCTATGAAGCTTGTCAGACAGGGAGAAATTAAAACACAAAGGTGTTGTGACTTGTCACAATACCAGACCAGGGTGGTTCATTTGCTATGCAAGTCTGAAATAACATAAGCACAAGTTTGATCTTTTCCAGTACATTATCTACAGGCTCCATCCTCTTTTGCCAATGCACATTTCATAGTTCAGTAAAATGAAGTAAAAGTGACGTGCCGTGTTTATGCTAGGCTAATCAAGTTATTGAATTTGAAATATGATTTTGAGTCATGTTTGCAGTGCACAGAGTTGAGAACCAGCCATCAGCAATAAAAACAACTGAAAGTCTCAAGTTACATTGCGCAAGTTTCCAACTGGTATCACCGTCTCAGAGCGATACTTTAGCAGAGTCCCCTCCAGCTGGAGGTTTGTGATTTCAAGAACAGCAGTACAGTGATCCTCTCTTGGCTAGCTTGCCACTCAACATTACCTCAGCTGTTTTCCACATTTGCTGGGAAATCAGAAACAAGTAAGAAATTTCCCCAAATTTAACTTAATTTTGTCACTTAATTTGATATAACATTGACCTAAACCAGTCACATGCCAATACCAAGCAGCTCAACTAGGTAAGGCGGTGCACAGCTGAGACCTTCTGCAGGGACTCAAGTCTCAGTGGTGGGAATGAATGTAGGGTTTCATTCCCTGTTGATATAAGCAATGTGCTAATTAAACATAAAACTCACTAATGATAATCTGTTCACATCCAGCAGCATCATTTGCAATGATGCATGAGTCTAATGTACTGGGTCTGATCACCGATGACAGCCTTACTGAACAAATCAAGTATCAGTAAAATCCGACAAATCTACATTCAATATGGTTTCTTACTTACTGCGGCTATAAAACTAACACTGCATTATCCAGAAGCCTATTCATCATACATATTTATTTTTAACTTTGTATATTTTGTTTTTATCTCTGGTAGCTGAAAAGTAAGGTCAACTCATGTTACCTTACACAATAAAGAATGACCCCAAGCAGCTCCACACAGTGAGGTACACACAGATTTTTAAGCCGAAGAAAAATAAAAATCTGGTACTGGACAGATACTTTGACTTCAGGTTTCGTAACTGAACAATACTAGCTAACATTTTTCCCCCACTTTTGTAACTTACATATACTCAACAGAATATGGTGAAAACACTTGTGTTTAATCAGATCAATACAAAAAAAGATTACATAGCATATAGCAAAGCAATTTGCAGTGAAATCAGTTCCTTGAACAAACACTTGTTTGTGGCACCAAACAAGCATTAATTACTCACCATCAAACAATGAAAAACTACTAAACAGGTTTTCTGTTCAGTAGGAGAGAGAATGCGCACTAGAAAGAGATACAATCATACGAGCCGCTAAATGTGCAAACATTACACGCAGTTAGGTGAACTTTTCTGTTCACAAAGGAATAAGGGTGTAAGGATTTCAACACCTATATGAATATTAAATTTGAATTTTGGGAGGTTATGTTAGACATGCACCTAGGGTTGGGCAATATGACATTGTTATCACAATGCTTTTCTGAGTACATCATGGCAAGCGTCAATATTTCTAGAACACTAAACAAATGCATGAGTCAGAACCTAATTAGTAAACGTTTAATTGGATTTAGTGCAGTGCAGTTTGTTAAACACAATCAAAACGATAATCATTATTTTTGATAGTAATTTTTAAATGTGGCACCACTGGTTCTTTTTATTGTCTATATCAACTTAACAATTATCTACAAACACCCATGCGCAAAATGCAAAAACTCTAGGAGTGATTAGATGGCAGAGCAGGAGACACTGAGAAAGTTCTACTGGAGAACTTTTTTATCTGAGTCTGTATATATTTTTAGAGCTTTGTACAATCATTTTAACATACAAACTATCAAAAATCAAACTGCATCTTGACCTCAGAATTGACCTCAAAACTATACTGAAATTGAAAATGTGTTACAGCCTTAGAATGCATGCATGGTGCTAAAATTAACACACAGTTGAACCCAAAGGTTTGGGCTTCCCTGGCCAGATCACATGTTTGTTGACTTTCTAAGTGAAAATAAACACACATACTACACAGAGAACAAAATTGTATCTGCTGAATTTAACATACTTGCCCTGTGCAAAAGTTTTGGCATTTTTTATATTTTGTGCTTTATTTTTTCCAATATGTAAAAAAAAAAAAAAAAAAAAACAGAAAATGAGCACATCAAAA